TAAAAAGAACGGTACTGACTGTCTAATTAGCAAGCCAACAAGCAAGTGGCACCAAGTTGTCAACAAAGCAACAAAAGGTGAAGCAGGCACATTCACTTTAAAACTACCACTTTCAGCTTATATAGATAAATTCGAGCTATATTCGAGAGAAGAACTTCCAATTCAGAACAGCATTCAGATAAAAGTACCGAGCATAGAAGAAGCAATAATACAAAGGGTAATCGAAGACAAGGATATTAATATAGATCGTAATTATTTACTTGGCATGAATTTAGAGATTCTGGATTAATTTTAGTTGAATGATAAAACAAGCTATGATTTATTTCATAGTAAATTTTCTCAATTAAATTAGGTGCTACAAAAGTTTTAAGGATAGAATTAATATTCTGATACATTGTATTACAAACATTTAGTAGCTTAATATAAGAATTTAATGATTTCTAACTAATAAAATCATAATAATAGTTTTGACTTGATATTAATGAATCAAGTGAATCAACTAACTTATACAAAGTTATATGACTACAACGTATAATATCTTTGACTTGTGAATTAATTAACTCAACATAGCTAATAGCCTATGCACCAGCAGTGAAGTGACGAAAAGTAAATGCTCTTGCTCAATATTACTTATCAGAATATAAGGTTTTATTAAGATATGATACTGCTTTTGGATACTGATCTAATAAAGACTTAAAACTATTTTCAAAAGATTGTTGATTTAATATATTACAAGCTTTGTAAAAGTCTTTAATTAAAGAATCCTAATCAGATCCTAATTTGCCTTTAAGATTTTTTTGTAAATTTTGACTAATATACCAAACACAATGAAGGTGCTAAGTTGAGAGTAAAATTGTTGAAATAGCAAGAGCCATAGCAGGGTTAGCATCTGTTAGAATAGTATTTAGATAGAGTCTATCTGTAGCTTTAACTAAAACTTCAAGTAACCAGGAATATGACTCAGTTGTTTCATTATCTAATACTGCTTGTATAATAAGACGAGATCAATAGATGTTATCAATAGCAATAAAAAGTGATAGTAGCATATTATAAATATTTATCTTTGCTGTATTATCATAAATAATAATATCATTATAATGCATCCAAAAGTTAAGTTAATCAGGAGACATCTAGAAAAGATGCATTAATATATTAGTGTTAAGGTCAAAACGCCACTTAATGACCTATCTTGAATCTTCCTTTTTTTTTAAATAGGTTTGATAATAATTGTGATACATTATCATTTATATGAGAATTAATTTTTTTAAATTTTGAAATAGTATTATACAAATTGTGCTGATAAATTTAAGCTTTATACTTTCTAGAAAGAAGCTAATATTATGCACTCATATTAAGCTTTCTGACTATTGTATAGTATTTAATATCTGCTAATATCTCATCAGTAAGTTTATGATTTTTTGGAATAAATTTTATAATACTTGAATCTAGTATATAGCTAGTATGAACACTTGCAAAGGTGGATATATGATATCTACTTAAACACTTATTCTGATATATATTAACTTTCTATTTACAATCAGTTCTATATGAACCAGACTCCTTAATTTTATGTAATTTTTTTTCATTCAATGGTCTTCCAGCATGATAGCATAGAAATATTCTTGAAATTTCATAACTATTATTTGGATTTTTCTCAATATGTCCTTTTCTAATTCCAAACCTATTTGAATTTGCAAATATTTCAACTACTGAATACACTTCTTCAACTATCTGAAAAATTTGTTCTGAAAATATAAAGATTTTAAAAATTATCTTTATTTAATTCTTAAAATCATTATAGAGAATTATATACCTTCATAAAGTTCTACTTGTTCATCAAATTTATTATCTGATTGTTTATCAGACCTATTTTTTTTTTTTTTTTTTTTTTTTTTTTTTTATAACTTAGGCGATCTTGCCCTTCATTTTATTAGGAGAAATATT